ACACTGCTCTTTTCAATGTATGATATTTATGAATGACATTTAGTGAACTTTACTATCTTACTCCTTCCTTCCCCAACATCACATCCATTGGATACACTGCAGGGGATTACAGAAGTTGCAGTCCAACACATTTACAGAAACAACTGGAAAAAGTAGTCTAGAACTAGGATGTGTTTGATTATCAAACTTGGGTTGCTGTCTAAATCTCAAATATTATGGAAAACCATTGTTATATGGAGTAACATATATCAATGATTCCTTAAATACTACAAGTCAGTTATAAGGCAGCCTCATTTCCACATGATCTCACTCCAGAAAGGCATAAGCTCCATGTCCAAATTCATCTTTAAAATACTGCAGTTTCTCCACAAAACAGCACACAGGCAAACAATTAAGGAAGGGGGTCACAAGAAAAATACTGAGCGCTAACAACATATTTGGTTCCCCCCCAAAGGAATTAGCAACATAAATTTGTCATTTGTACCAGTAATCTCTTTTTACCCTATGTGAAACAGTGCAGTTTTTCCATTTCTTTATATATTCAGCCATGTTGTACAAATTAGGCTGCAGGGTTTTCCCATGTTGGACTGGAATAACCAGAAAAAAGTAATGTTCACATCAAAATAAAATTGCTATGACCTACAAACACATCACCTGATAGACTGTTACCAAGGTAGTTTCACAACCAAATATCTGCCAACCCCAAGTTTTGTTTGCTATTGCTAAAACAGCTGCACCTTTTAAGTACAGGTAGACTCAATTGCCTCACAAACTTTCAATGAGAGTTCATAATAGTTGATAGTTACAATACAAAGTATATACTATCCCATTTCAGTAAGGGGAGATGGAAGGGATATCAAAATGGCAACTTTTGTTTAGTTCAGAACCTTTCATATATATTTATAAGCACAGATTACGTATTGGCTAAAGGATGTCGTTTTCACTAGCCATTTGCAGACACTGGAAAGCCATCTATTTAGAGAACCCTTTGAAAGGCTACCCTAATGTGTCATTAAAAAAATAGCATGGGCTGCAGAATCTACTACATAGGTGTCAAACTTGATCATGTCACATGATTTATTGTGACGTTTTTTGCCTTTGCAGGGCGTGGTGGGTGTGGCTTACATATGACGCATCCGGCCTGCGGGCTGCCAGTTTGTCAACCCTGACCTATTATATGTGGATTGGAAGAGTTAGATCAACATTCCCCATTCTGGTGTTTAAGACCAAGTTCCAACATCCTTAGTTGTAGCACTCATCATGTTGGCTAGGAATTCTGGTAGTTAAAATCCAACATATCTAGAGACAACAAATCGGAAAACATTAAATACACAGCAGGACTCTCAGAAATACCCTAATTGCAACTCTAATAAAATTTGTAATATTACTTTCCAGATCTGTAGAAAGTAAATGCATTAATAAGCCACAGCTAGTATACTTTCATACATCTTTATGTTTTGCCAAGAGTGAAGAATTGCATAAGCAACTGTTTTTACAGATTACATGATCTTTCCACTTTATATAGGTTTTGGCAAAGCGTTCAACTCATCATGTGAGCAAATATAATGATTACAAACTGCAAAGATACTAATACATGAGGATTACTAAAAGAAAATAAATTGAAAAATGTTTTTACTGCACTTACTGCCCTTGAAGAAGTGGAGAATGGAAAATGCTATATTTCTGTATTGTATGGAGGCCAAAGACAATAATGTATCAAATGCTGCTATTGAAATAGCCTGACAGATATTGTCACTCACAATAAACATTAGCCCAGTGCCAATAACATGAGCAATAGCATTTTAAAAAGAATTCAATTAGTTTTAGGCTTTTTTACGTCTTCAGAAAGTAAGTATTTAAATATGCACAAAGATAGATTCAGCAAATCGCAAAATAGAGGAACTGTTAGTAAAAATGACAAAATGTGCTGAGATGACTAAATCCTTTGATCAGAGAAAAGACAAATTTTAATTTATTTATTTTGATGGCTACATTGACTTCTTTAATCAAATTATTAAGCTATTAAACTAATCAGTAAAATTAATCAGTAAACAAATTTATAAAGCCACTCAACTGACATCTGGGTGACGATATCTATGTTTATCGCTGATTGGGATGTCCTTATAGAAAAAAATAAATTTAGGATTTATGGTTTCGATGATTACATAGGATAGATTCTAGAAAGAAGACAGTTACATTGTAACTCTAAAGTAAGAGGTAAATTTATAATTGTACTTATAACTGATGTAAAGGAAATCAGAAGTTACTTCTCTGTAACTCCCCCCCTTTCTTGCACTTTTAGCTTTACTTTCAATTTCTTTTTTACTTTATCACTATGCATGTGTACACACACACAAAAAAAAAACATAGAGAGAAATAGTATGTATTTAAAAAATTAAAAAACTGCAACTCTCTTCAAGAATGAGGTGTAGGGCTCTCTACCCAGTGCAAATCCCATAAGTTATGGCTTCATAAATATTTCAAAAATTCAACACAATGACAAATTCAGTTCAATTTAAGGTACATACAGAATTATGCTTAAACTTCCTTCTCCTGAAAGAGCAATTCATAACTCTTTAGGTAAATTCAAATATTCAGGATTTTATTTTTAAAAAAACTTTTCTACTTTCTATCTGTGTTAACCACATGATCATTTTACAAGCTGAAACACAGGACAGATATTAAGTAACATTCCCTTCAATGCTGCATTGTCCAGCAATAGAAAGATGAAAAAAATAAAATAAAAGTCTATTTGCAGGATCAGACTTTCCCTTCTCAGACAGTGACATCACAAACTGTTTCTACAGTAACTATTGCTACTATTAAAGGTCTGAATCAGTGGAAGAGATGACCAATTAAAAGCAACAGGACTGACTTTAGAGCCTGCCTAGGATTAGGGAGGCAAATGAGAGAGAAGGTAAGTACAATTTAATAAGCTCAATTATTTCAATGTAGTGAGTTTCAAAACACCAACTATATTTAGATTTACCTAAAGTAAAAATATTGATTTATAATGGAAATTTAGCCTTAAACACTTAAGAGTTTATGCACTTATATAGACATACAATACATATGATCAGGAAAGCAAAGAACACCAGCTCAATGAATGTAAACAAACTGATTTTAAAATGCTTAAAAGTATATACATTTGTGTGCATGCATATATCACATATATCACTTGATCTCTTTCTCAAACACCCACACTACTTAATCTGAAGAACATTAGGTAGCAGTACAAGTCCTTGACCTGGGACCATAACTGACTCCAGAATGATGGTCAAAAGTCATGTTGGTCATTAAGTAGGTTATGACATGATTGCATCTGATTTTAAAATCTTTTGAATTGATTGTCCACAATGGGTATTTTTTTGATAGAAACTGGAAGTAAACACTAGTTTCTTGCAAAACATGCTGTAAATTGCAGTCACATGACCGCAGATGCCCAAAATGCAATCATGTAACCATAGGGGATGGGTTTATCCATCATAACTTTGAACCCTGGGCCATATGTATTTATAGCAGGGGTGTCAAACTTGTGCCATCACGGCGGTGTCATGTGACGTATCTCTTTTTCCCCTCCTTTACTAAACCAGGCATGGGCGTGGCCAGCACGTGACGCATCTGGCTTGCGGGTCACCAGTTTGACAGCCCTGATTTATGGGGAGATCCATTGTAACTTTGGTTGCTAAGCAACCAGTTGTAAGTTGAGGCCTGAAAAGGGCCTTTGCAGAAAACTCTTTTATTATCCAGATGAAAATGGCACAGCCATTCATATACAGTGTTTTTGGGGGAGACATGTTTGATCCAGGATGCTGCTTTGAAGAGGCACTTCAGTCAAAGCTTCATTGAAGTTAGATACCCTTTCAAAGATCTGATTCTCCTAAACATTACTTCCCAAGGAACAGATTCTTTCAGTGCTCATGCATTGCTTGTACGTTTCCTATAAAAATCTGTCTGCGGGTTTAGGAAAGAGAAAGAAAATTAAAAGAGTTGCTGATTAAGCATCAAGGATGGTATAGTTTTCAGGGTGACTAGGACTGAATGGTCACTTTCCATTCTCACTGAGTGACTTTGAGCCAGTCACCCTCTATTTGCCAAACTTACTTCCCAGAATTGCTGCTGTGGGGGAAAATAAAAGGAGGAAGTGCTTATGCCTTGTGCTCTTGAAAGACAAAATATAAATCTAACAATAAATAAATAGTTTTCATTCTAAAGGACAGAAATGCAACTCTGCTCATGTGGACTTCATAGAACGGCCATGAAGGCCTTGGAAAAGATATTCAAATGCCACATGTCTACACTGTGCTTACAAAGATCTGAATAACACAGAGAATGATATTCTATGGAAGCAAAAGTTGGCCATTGAAGAAGCAGGATGGGAAGATAATGGACACCTGATGAACTTTGGTGCAGGAGAAGACTCCTGAGAACACTGTAGACCAAGAGTGTCAAGCTCAAGGCCTGGGGGCCGGATCCGGCCCGTGGGGTGCTTAGATCTGGCCCACAGGGCTGCCCTGGAAACAGCAAAGGACCAGCTCACAGTGCCTCTGCCAGCGAAAACAGGCTCCCGAGCTCCGTTTTTGGCTGCGATGGCCTCCTGCAACCCTCTGCCAGTGAAAACAGAGCTCAGGAGGGCCACACACTGGCCACACGCAGAGGGTTGCAGGAGGCCGTCACAACTAATAATGGAACTTGGGAGCCCATTTTCGCTGGCAAAGCACTTGGGCCACCACAGGCTCCCCCGACACAAGTGATGTTCAGTTGGCCATGCCCACCCCACCCCTGCCCACCCCAGCCCACCATGGTCAAACACAACCCTGATGTAGCCCTCAATTAAATCGCGTTTGACACCCCTGTTGTAAAAAACAACAAAAAAACAAAACAAATGGATCATCAAACAATTTGATCCAGAATTCTCACTCGAGGCCCAAATGATCAGGTTCTCTAATGTTGGTAAAGGTGGAAGAAAAAGAAGAGGATGACCAGTAGAAAGCTGGATGAATTCAGTTACAGTGGGGATGAATGCACCCATGTAACACCATGGAAAAAATCTATGTGGTCACTAAGAACTGACAACAATTTGATGCCAGGTAATCATAATTTTATTTCATTTGTCATATTTATTTATAGCTGCCCATTTCACAAAACATGTGACTCAAATCCAGAACTACATTTCATACAAGCAATACAGGTAGTCCTTGACATACAATCTCAACTGAGCCCAAAATTTCTGTTGCTAAGTGAAACATTTGTTAAGTGAATTTTGCCCCATTTTATGACCTTTCTTGCCATGGTTGTTAAGTGAATCACTGCAGTTGTTAAGTTAGTAATAAGGTTGTTAAGTGAGTCAGGCTTCCCCATTGGCTTTACTTGTCAGAAGGTCACAAAAAGCGATCAAATGACCCAGGGATACTGCAACCGTCATAAATATGAGTCAGTTGCCAAGCATCTGAATTTTGGTCACATGACCATGGGGATGCTGCAATGGTCGTGAGTGTGAAAACTGGTCACAAGACACTTATTTCAGTGCTGATGTAACTTTGAATGGTCACTAAATGAACTGTTGCACGTTGAGAACTACCTATAATTAGGAGGTGACACTCAGAGGGTGGAATAGCAACTTTAAGAGTTCAGAGTAGCTTTGAGCAAGAAAAAACTTCATATGATACTGACTGAAGAGAATAAACACCACTGGCAGCCTCTTGAGTTCTTACAACTCAGCCTGCAAAGAGTTTAGTCCACCTGACAGGAGATTACTTGCTTGCTTTAGTTCACATTGTCTGCTTTCCTGCATCTTTCAGGAAATCCTTGGGGATGGCAAATCTATCATCCATATTCCTTTTGTGCTGAAAGTTAGCAAGCAAGTTAGTTGACTTAAAATACACAACAGACTATTTTCAGCAGCATCAAACCTAACTGAAAACATCTGCAGGAAAAAGGTTATGGTTATAATAAATTCCAGAGTGAACAATGCTTCCCTACATGCGAAATGCTTTTGAGTTATAGTCTATAACCTCAAAGATAATATCTTATAGTATGAAAAGTAACACAGTGGGGAGCATTCAGGTAATATGTAAAAGTGACAATCTTAATTACCCTTGTTTGTTCTATGCAGTGACAAGAGTTATGTCCCTTTAGTATTTTATCTTATTCATGAACCATGCACTTGCATTTAATCAACAGCTAATCAGACTAAAACAGAGCATAAGAAAGTTGTTTCTGTACGTGCAATTTTGAGAAGCTACTTAAAAGTAGCCTATCAATTTGAACACACCCATCATAACACAGCCTTATTCTGTCTTTTCATTGACTCATCTCTCAAAGCTTGATCTAATAAGGTGGCAATATAATTACTTTCTTATACAGAACAGGATTGTAAGATCTACCAGAATTAGGACTGGGAAAATGAGGTTCTGTACTCAAGATTTCTCATTATTTAAGAATGGGACAAGATGGTAACCCATTAGTTAACTTCAGCTTCATCATGTTATCCATTATACAGTACATTAAGGTACAATTCTTGTGACTCAGCCTCTAATATATGTAACTGAGGTAATCATACATTGCTTCTACATACTATCATACTTTCCTTTCCTTCTCTCTGACACTCATTTTTAGACTAATATTTTTGATTGTTTTCAATTATGGTCCTATGCCAGGGGTGTCAAACTGGTGGCCCGTGGGCTGGATGCATCACGTGCAGGCCACTCCCACTCCAGCTCCGCGAAGGGGAAAAATGTCACGAAATGTCATGTGACGGCAACATGACACCACGAGTTTGACACCCGTATTGTATGCCATGAATTGTCATATGCACTAACGGGACTGTACAAAATAACAGGAGTGCAGTTCAATGCATACCTACCAAGAGATACAATTTAATACTTCATACGTATACTGTATCTGAAAAACAAAGGAATATTATAAATGCAACATATACTAACAAATATTTATTCTGTAACTAACATTGCAGTGGGAGATAACTGTGACTGGGTTCTCACCAGTAGTGGGTTTCACTTACCTTCGCTACTGGTTCAGAACTGTGAGCATGCGTGTGCGAATTATTGCTTCGCTTGCACGCGGTGCTTCTGCGCATGCGCAGAACCTTCTGCGCATGTGCAGTGTCCGTGATGATGTCCAGGTGGGCGGAACCTCCTGCGGTTGCCGCTACTGAACCAGAGTGAACTGGTAGAAACCCATCACTGGTTCTCACACTGCAATAAGCATGATTTACTAAATAAATCATAACATGTGTTCATGAAACTAGATAAGCCAATATCGTACAATGACTTACGAGTGATGCCGGGATACAGAAGAATTTAATATAAAACAAAACCTAGATAAGACATAAATTAGAAACAGCAACAAGATGAAAGATTACTTGAATGTCTAAGTGACAAGATTATCTGAACCATAAATGGAGACACAGAGCTAAATTAAATACAGAAGAGTATTTTAATTTCTAAGCTTATCTACATCTATACTGCAGTTTCATATATTAATGTGGAATCAGTATGCCGTACTAGAGAGACCCAAGTTCAAGTCCACCTTAGCCACAGATGCTCAAAATTGGACCAGTCTCTCATTGTTGCCAATAGAAGAATATATATATTACAACATATGCAATATGTTGAACTGTGGAGTCCTTGTTGTTCTCCAAACTTGGTTGTTTGGTTGCAGATGTTTCATTACCCAACTAGATAACATCATCAGTGCTGGTGAGTATGGGGTTTGATCCCTGATTAATATACAGAAGCTTGTTCTGCCAATATTAGTGGAGGTGTGGTTTGGGAAACTGGGAGGCTCCACAGTCTCTCTTTCTCTCTCTTAGTCCCATTTCTCTTACAACACTGCTGATGTGCTGGGAGGTCCATATAGCCTCCCTTGAGCTCCTGAAGGAAAAGGATATAAATCTAACCAATAAATAAAATGTATAACCAGAACGTAAGTTTAGCAAGACATCATTAACTTGTATAAAACAAAGTTTTCTACAAATTACCTCAGCAATGACAGAATGAAAAATCTGCTCATAACAACATACCAAACAACCAATTGTAGTCAGCCACAATGCCCTCAATTCATAGAACAGGTCACTAGTCCTTACTGGATGAAGCAGGAAACTAAGCTGCCCAAGTACTCTTGAATAACAGAAGTAATTCTGAAATCATCGTGCTCAATTCTGTTTTACTTTGTTTTGCCAAGGCTGCAACTTTTCAATTCAAACATTTTGTACTGTTTCTAACTCCATTTGCACTAGACCAAACACTACTCTCAAATGATAATTAAACACAGAAAGCATCCTCACTAATGCATCCACAGCACACACTCTACACAAGATTAAAATCTTGAACCCTAGAATCTTTACTGCTATATAGGGGCAATAACTCTTTACTCTGTGCTGCCATCTGGGGGCCGTCCCGATATAGTAACCCGATGAACAGGGCTATCTGGGAAAACATCATCTTCCTTCGGGGCGGAAACGCATTTACAGTTGAAAACGACATCCCAATTTAGTAATGAAAGCCTTACAAAGTCACCACTTGTGATTCACGTGGCGTCCATCTCAAGTTCATGGAGTTATTTCAGTTTCACTTAAATGGCCCCAACCTCGGTCACTCACACCTGATTAATTGCTCGAACCCCCAAAGTCCTCGATCCAAGATGAGGCGGAAGACAAAAAGACAAACGGCGCCTCCGCGATTGTTCTCCCTCTAAGTCTTGTACGGCTACTTTTAAGGGCATCCAAGGGACAACCGTCCCGGCCAAGAAAGGCAGCAGCATCTACTACCCGGCAACCCTTGGAAAGTCTACTCACAAGTTTCAGCCACGCGGTCTTGCTTGCCTGCTTTTTGCCCTCGTACGAGATAAGCCCCAGAACTGAATCCGGCTGAGCCGCTTGGGAGGGAGGGAATCACCCAGCCGGCGAAGGGGTGGAGGAAGGAGGCAGAGCAAGCACCGCCAGAGGCTCGGAGCAAACTTTCGCCCTCCCAGCTGGAACTCGGTTGACTCACAAGCGCTGCCTTGCTGATGGGAGGGCGAGGAAGGCGCTGGCGTCCAGAGCCGCATGCTCACAACGCCTTTTCCTCCCCCGCACACGCTGGGGCCGCCGCCGCCGCCCGAGGAATTCTTACACTCAGCCGGCGCTTTGCGCTGCTCTGCCCCACCTCCTCTGCAACACCTTGGCGGGGCAGGAGCGTGTCTGGGGGAAGGGGAAACAGTCACTTTCCCCCCACGCTGAAGAGTGAATCGCTCCCTTATATAAAAAACTTTCATCGGCAAGACAGGAAGCCAGGTTCCCTCCGCTGCAGAGAGAAAGGGCGTAACGCTGCTATGTATGGCTGCTTTGCGGCCTGCTGAAAATCTCTTTTCTCTTTTAGAGACGAGTTTGCTCGTAGAAAGAGCTTGGTCTCCTTTGGAGCCGGATTCGAGGCGATTCCAATCCCAGAACGGTCAACGCACACAACTCTTCCCCCCTTCCTTTGCTGAGGCACTAAACAGGTCAATTTCTCTGGCCTCATTGGACTAAATTCTTGGGGATGGTGGCATGACAGGATTATCCCACCAGGTGCGCGGGTCACCTTGAACTATTAATGTGGTTGGCTCATTTGTGATTTACGGTATCTTTATGTTATAGGTGCTGGGATTTTGAAGAACGTTAAGCCTGACATTGGTCATCCAAGATGCCACTTTTGTTCCTTGGAGCTCATCCGATACCCATAGAACAAAAAACTAGAACCAACAGAGGAAGGCCCCAGAGGTGTTTTTCAAAGGGCAACTGGACTTTCCTGTTTTTTAATTTGAAAATGTCCAGTTGCCTTTTGAAAAACGGCTTTGGGACAACCATGACCAGGATGAGGAGAATCTGAGGGGTCCTTGGTGCTCTCTGAGCTTCGTTGTTTTCTTGCAAACATTTGGGTAATGAAACATCTGCAAGAAAACAAGCTCAGAGACCACCAAGGAGCCTTCATTTCAACCCTGAGCTACAAACATTCTCCTTTATTGGATTGAGAATCTCCATAGACAATGGAGGAAGAGTGAAAGGGAAAGTTTTATCTTTCCTGGAGTTAAGGTGGGTGTAAGTATCTCTTAATGAAATGGACTGCCTTATGCAGATAGCCAATGCTATGTTGATACCTGCCTGCAAAAGGTAGGCTGCTGTTGCATTCTTATTAAAGAATATCAAAAACAGGCCTATTTCTAAAGCATATAGAGAAATACATATTTTCACTTTTAATTAAAAAAACAAACAGTTGAAATTAGTAGATATTTGGACCAGGCACAATTCAGTGTGATTACCAAAGCATCTCGTAATGACTAGCTCTTTAAATACAGTATTTGTAATCTACTGTCATTCAAAAATAATTCAGTTGACTTGTTTCCCAGTCAGTGTTCTTAAGACTACAGCATTAAATCATTTTGTTCCTGTTTATACTACTGTAGAATTATTTTATAAATGCCATGCTGAACATGTCTGAAAGACAGAACAGCACTGCTTGTAATAACTTATGATGAAAAGCCCCTCCCTGTTATCTTTTTAAAAGAAAAAAGATTGTTGATGTGCATTCTTCCTAAATACAAGAAGATATTTAACTACATTTATTTAAAAAAAATATCTCACAAAACCTTATCTACGCCAAAATTATTTTAATGTAAGGAAAACTTAGCTGGCCCAATTTAACTTGACAGCTTTAATGATGCAGTGCTTCTTGATTGCCTTATGAATCTGAATATTGAGTATATGTATCTATTCATGAGTCTGCCTGACTCTTGAAGTGCAAATTCTGCAGTGCAAAGTCAACACACATCTCACAGAGTATGAAAAATTTAGGATTTAAAGCCCAAGAAAACCTTGCTTCATGCAAATATGCTAAACCTTTATCTCTTATGTGAACAAGCAATTTTAATGTGTTAAAGAAATCAGAGTGGCTTAGGGGGTCTACAGTATATGGATTACTCTGAAAATGAACAGCTAGCACAAAAGCCAGAAAAATTTCTTTGGCCAGCGATTTCAGCATATGTGCATGGTTAGAAGCCTATCATCTTTTAGGGATGGTTACTTCTCTGAAAGTATTTCAGGAAACATACTTCAGGGGACAGATGGTACATTCATGTCTCACTGACTTCTAAACCACTCTTTTCAATTAGAAGCACTGACTTGCCCTAATCTCTGTAGGTGGTCATCCAGAAGAAGAGCCAAAAGAAAAATACCAGTTGCAACAGGTTCTCAGTTAGCAGCTTTCATGGTAACATGTTTAGATTGTAGAGATTATACAGAAATGTCTCCAAGAATTTGGGAATGTTCTGTCCAGTTCTAAGCATATATTTTAGAATTCATATTTAAAGATGGAAGGGCAACTCCTCCACCAATGTTCTTCTCTATTTTTCCCTGTGGCTATTCATATTTTATCTCATTAAATTCATACTTTTATCTCATTAAACAAACAAACCAGTTAGAGTAAGGTTGTGTATTTGAAGGAAATCCACTCCTTATAATTCTGATCCTTATGGCTTTCAGATCTTTCTACTAATGAAACTTTGGATCAAGCATGTCCAACTCATGGCTCGCAGTCCATATGCAGTCTCAAGGTAATAAAAGATATATTAATTTTTTGTTATTTATATACATTAAGTATATTGTGCATTTTATATGCAGCCCAAGACAATTTGTCTTCATTCAATGCAGCCCAAGCAAGCCAAAAGGTTGCTGAAAATCTGTATGATTATTTCTTTGAGGTCAACTAAACTCAAGTTCTAATTAGTGTTCCTTTATTCAACATTATAAGGTTTAGGCATGAATACTTTTCAAATGTAATTAAATGTAATCTGTAGTTCTATAAATTTATCACACCTCTGCTATACGTTGGCAACCTATAATGCAAAATTAATGCACATTAAAATTGCATTTTGAACTGCATAGTACAATAAGAATTAATACCTTCCTACCATTATAAACACTGTTAAAAAGTATCCAAAGTACAGAGTACAATTTTATTTGTGAGACAAGGCCACTTTCTTTCCACAAGTGGAAAATTTTCCTACACTGCTATCTCTGTAAATCTGAATGCATTTATAGAATGAGCAACTGATATATGCAGCAAAGCCTAAACCAGAAACTTAAGAACTTAAAATTGTATAGTTCCTCTGTTCATGTAGTAAAATAAAAATTTGCCTTACAGGGAGATGGATCAAAATGCAGAATGAACATGTTTGCTTGCTCACAAATACATTGAACAACATATTTTACTTACGTAAAACACTTAGTTTAATCCTAATTATTTTTATAGTATTCTATTTGTACATCAAATAGAAATGTGCACCAGATTTGAGTAAAGCCTTTATCTCAAAGCAGAGTAATTCATACATATGATTCATTCATTCATTCATTCATTCATTCATTCATTCATTCATTCATTCATTCATTCCACAAATTTGTTGTGCTGTGAAGAATGGCATGGTATTTATATTAAGTATTATAATGGGGGGAGAAAACATTGAATTCAATAATGGACAATTCTGTCCTCAAATCAGTGTGACTCTTGAAATCATTAGTCCTGGATCAGAGCATCTTGTAAATTAGAATAACTCTACAGTTTAAAAGAGGCCCTTAGTGTTATTACCTGCTTGTCTCACTGTTGCCTGGTCTTTCATCCTGAGCGGTTGTATGACTATTTTCTGTGACATGCATTAGTGAGTTAAATAGGCTCCATGACCTATTTTTGAAAATAACGGAATCAATCCCTTTTTTTCAATTTCAGCCCTCAGTAATGAATTCCAGTGAATGGGAAGTGCCATTCTTATTGAATAGTCCTTTTTCCTCAAATCTCCTTCAACTTGTGTCTAAAAATTGAGAACATTATTTCCCATTATCAGTATTATTTATTTGGCCTCCCAACTCAATCAAATGACTCAGGGGAGGGGAGCTTACTTCTGTGAAGTGCACAGTTACCTTTATCTAAAAAGAAAGAAATCTTCAAAGTATTAATTATAATTTTGTATAACATTCATTACCTTTGAGAATTAGCAAGGGGAAACAATTACAAAAATCTCAGAACAAGCAATTCTGAAAGCATTTGTATTTTTTGGATTCATGTACCCATAAAAAATGAATCTAGGGGAAGAGACTTTATACTTTCAGCCTTAAATTAGCTGACAAATTAAAATTTTGTTTTCAGAGGATCTTTACAGAACTCTGTGATTGTTTTCTAATGCGTGTACTTTAAAGCAATTGAACAGACAATTCTGAATGTAATACTACTTTAAAAATAGCTTTTTGAGTTCACCTACGTGTGGTAATCAGCAAACCATTTAGAACAAAGGAGATAAAGTTACCTTAGTTTACTGAGAGGTTAGTGGAATCCTAACAATTACATCTGGAACTATACAACATCATATCGATGGGCATGTGAAAAGATTTTAGAAACAACCTTTCTCAAATGTCACATTTTAAACCAATTTTAAATAGCACTGATGTTTTCCTTATTTTAGAGCAACATTTCTCAATCCTGATAACTTTTAAGATGCATGGACTTCTATTTCCAGAAGGGTGGCTGGGGAATTCTGGGACTTCTTAAAGTGGCCAAGGGAACAAACACTGCTGTAGAACATTAACTCTTAAAAAGCACACACTGGGACCAGAGCAAGGTCAGTACAGTACTCTAGATCAGGGGTGTCAAGCTTGCAACGACACGTCATGTGATGTATCTCAACTTTTTCCCCCTTCACTAAATGGGGGGTGGGTGTGGCCAGTGTGTGACGCATCCGGCCTGCGGGCTTCACACTCCTGCTCTAGATCATAGAATAACAGAATTGGAATGTTCTCTCTTTGGTTTAGAATCAAATGCTTTTAAATTTCAGTCATATGAACACATTATACTGTTCCATCACAGAGACTGGAAGAAATGTCCACCACGACTACTGTGGATACAGGTATCTGCTACTGAGCAGAATTGGGAGGACTGCATATTGCAAATTTTTTTCAGGGATTCAAGTGGGTTTGTAACCCATTCACAATAGATCAGTTTTAACTGAGCCAGAATGCAAACTGTACATGGACTGGGTTAAGAGCAGAAGCTATAACAAATATTTTGGCAAATCCAAAATGATCTCTGGCACAGACAGCCAAGCAAGAATCCTGGCATGGCTTCAGTAATGTAGTACTGTTGTGGAATCAATGTTCTTCAGTAATGCAGAAGTATTTCTTCAAACTTGTTCCAGCTCTAATTGCCTAAATGCAATCCATTATTGCAAAGGACCCATGTATTTCACTAAATCTTCCTTTGCTCATTTCTTTCTTTATTTTATTTATTTATTAGTTCAATTTATATGCTGCCCTTCTCCGGAGCCTCAGGGTGGCTTACAATGCATTAAGCAATAGCCTACTTTTGTATATACCTGCTTAATAGGGCTTTTTGGGCCCCCCAAGTGGTGTTCTATTTTATACAAAGTCAGCTTATTGCCCCCACAAACCGGGTCCTCATTTTACCTACCTCAAAAGGATGGAAGGCTGAGTCAACCTTGAGCATGGTGAGAATTGAACTCGCAGTAATTGCAGGCAGCTGGCAGCTAAATGCTACTTTAACAGCAGCAATTTAGTCTGTTGCGCCACCAAGGCTCCCATTGAAAATTACACTATTTCACTCCTTATAGAACATCTCTAAACATAACTACCGTAATTCAAAGCAAGCCCTGCTGATTTAATTTCAGAAGAGCAAATGCACAGTTGCAGCAGTCACTTGCATTCTAGCAAGTTACTTCCTGCTATCTAGTCTTAAAAATCCCAACACATAATTCCTAAATGATAGCAAAAAGGACATATAAAAACATAGATAATCATGAGTTAAATGAGTGATGGTATTTTGAATTCAATACAAAAATAATGCAAATATGGTTTAAATATATTAAAATATGATTATTGTCTTAAACTGAAAATCCAAGACTTGTATTATGCAAAGGGAAAATTAAATATATCATGTGTAAAATTGAGATTTATTTATCAGGGATACAACAAATCATGTTTTTGTTACTACTATCTCCAAATGGATTTAAGAATTCATGAAGTAGTAGAGACACCTGAATTTCCAAGATACTAATCTCACTCAGATCATTTCCTAATCCCTTGCATAATCTAATATACTTGCTTAATGCCCTGCAATATGTTCAGTACTTAAGTTTAGAATGTTTTTACTTTGCAGAAGGACATTATATATTTAGAAAACTTTGCCCTGCTCCCAAAACTTTAACCATTTCTACTATATTTAAGCACTTAGCTTCTATGTTTTCTCCAAATAATTTTGTTAGAAATAGAATAAAAACTACCGTAATGCAAACTACAAATATAGAAAAAAATACAAAAAGGAAAAACATATAAGAGAAAAAGAGATAAAGGAAAAAAGAAATTACTTCCCCTGTCATCCCAACAAATGAAAACAATTTTAGTAGTTTATCAGTAAGTATAACATGAACTCTCTTCATCTCAAATTCATCTCTTAACTAAAACACAAAATCCAAAAGCCTCATCATTTGTTCTTTATCAGCAAAAGTCCAATAAGGAAAACCAGATATTAATTTTCTAGTTTAATCTTGTTTGACAAAATCTTGGTTTGGACAAAACTCAGCAGCCCTTTTTCGTGTGGCTGTTGATAAAAATAGGATCGCCAACATGATTGCCAGCATCCAATGACTGATATGGCACAACAACAAAGAAGAATCATCTTGTTTGAATAAGCTAACTCTGTATTTCTTCCTGAAATTTTTAAGAATCTTAGCTTTTAATCCATTCAAATATAGTATATATAGTATCGTAGTATATATAATATATAGTATATATAGGAAGTTGTTTATGGTTTTGGTTTTTTTAATCCAAGAATCTTTCTTTGATCTAGTAAGAAAAAGTTATCCAAGTAACTTTTCTAATTTAATAATTGTGCTTCTCCTTTAGAGAGTGAAACACTTATCAGCTTCATAGGTGTATCTAATACATCTTTCTCCATACATTTATCATTGGTTGACACATTTAAGTCCAAAATTAATTTCAAAATTATCCATTATAATTTGATCTTCTTCTGTAACTTCCTTGACACAGGCTCTGGCTATCACATTAAGTAATTTTTAAGACCAGTATTCAAAAACCTTTATTAAGGATTGTTGCTCCATTCTTTTTTTTAATTAACCAAATGGTTGAATTGTCCTTTAGTTCTTTGAAGTGTCAAATTTTCAAGTCCTATTGTCATGTTTCCCCTTTAAAAAACCAAAAACCTAAACCATCAGCATTTCCAGTGGAATATTTCCTCTAAATAATTCAAAAGTATATTCCAAATCCATCTGACCCTTACTCTGTTAACTTTCTAAAAGAAATAAATAAGTAAAAATTTCTAAAGCTTTTAAAATCACAGTTAAACCATTTTTCTCCAACAAGGCAACTCACCCAATGAATACAGTGCAACTTTGCTGATCCAAAGATCTTAATCTTTCCACTACAATTAAAAAATAATCCAAAAAGTTATTAAGAAATGAGACTCATTCCTTAAGGTTTTATGTTCTTAAAATATTGTGCTTTGGGTGTGAGTTTGAAGATATTCTGGATTTCCAGCCACTCAACTCAAAAGCCAACTGCAAAGGATAGCTCCTGAGTACTCATACTCATGGTGTACTCATGAAGAGTGGCTGTTTGGAGTTAACATGGATTATCTCAATGATCTCTCCTATCTCTGGAGAGATTTTTCACTTCATAAATAGAGTCTCTCTACCATCAGATGTCAGCTCTCCATGGTGCTCACTGCAAGTTTCTGATATTTTAAGCAGATTCAATGCCCTTGATAGGCAGGAATTGTGACAGTCCTGCTGTATTCCTCGTCTGCTATTAACACAGCTAAGTCCCAGATTTATGGCTAGAGTTAATGTGAAAACTCCTCCCACAGCAATGGCATGCACACGTTAATCTCATGTGATGTTGGCACAATTCATCTTATTCCATAGCACACAGACAGGAGGACTGATGCAGCTTCCAGTCTACTAAGTTCAAGTAAGAACATCAATTCAGTACTAATATACAAATTAAATCTATGGAAAGCAGTTGAAGGGATGCTTTGCAAAAGACATGAGCAATGAGGAGACTTTTTCATTTTCAGTTTGTTTTTATATACTGCAAAACGGCTAACTTTACTTTCCTGCAGACTGATTGGAAAGAGGAAACAAGGATTCAGAGTTCCTGTGTTTATAAAAAAAACCAACCTGTTCCTTGTGTTTGTTTTGCTTTCTCTCAGTGATGTATAAGAAACTGCTACGGTTAGTCCCCCAAATACAAGTAATGCAATTATATACTTCTATGCACATTTTAATATGAAGAATAGGGCAAAATAGTCAGACTAACACAGGTTCAACCATTCATCCTTCAACTTTACAGCAAAAAACACAGCAAGACTTCACAAATCAAAGCCCATTCCTGCAGAATTCTGGCAGAGTTTAAACAAACTTGAAAACTATTTTGCAGGACAAAAGAAATTCCTTTGGCATATTCTTCCTAGTTAATAGACCCTGAATTATTTATTGTGCATAAAGAGTGAGATGGATGAAATATACTACAATACAATGTGGCAGGATAAGCGCCACCTACCTCTTCAGAGCCATAAAATACAACCTGTTCAGCCCAACATATTTTAATACCCAATATGAAGGTCAAGATAATAGAATCTCCCTCCTCCATTTTTCCTAGAGACTTATAATTGAATTTTATTTCATTAGTCGTAAGGAGACAATATTCTTCCCACTTTACCTGAGGACAGTAGACTAGCTAGAGAGGAGGATGTGCAGGGCAGGCTATGCTGAATATAAATTTTTACTTTCCAACAGAGTGGAATAGCCAAAGAATTGTCAACAATGCCTCTTCCATACCACCCATGATAACCATCTCACTCTGTGCACTGAAAGGGCCAGGCTGATGGCCACCAGAAACTTTTTTCTCTCTTACATAATAGAGAAGAGCAAACAGTAATGTGGTTGCTTATTTCTTTTCATTTAATGACACAAGACATAATGAGTTTGATAAATTTCTATTGACCACAATTCTGTTCCCCTCTAAAACATTCCATAATAGAGATGGCAGAATCCATTAAGTTATAAAATCAACAGATATGTTCTCTTATTTGCTTTAAAAAGTGCCATTGTATTGTATTGAATTACATTGCATTGCATTCTTCCTACTAAACCAAGAAGTTAAAACATTTCTGCTTATCTACTATGAAATACTTGGAAATTTACTAGCAAACCTACAGGTATACTTTGGCTACCTTTGGTTTAGGAGATTTGAAATAATTTGTTAATTAAACAGGCAGGCTTTTGCAACCACTTGGGAACATAAAAACTTACGTTCTACATGTGTCTATATTTCATGTAAATCTATGGATGAATAAAGAATAATGTATGCTCCAAAGAATAATGTATGCTCAAAAATAATGTTTGCAAGTGAAAAAGCTATTCTGAAATGTGATTTATATTTTTGTAATTAGTGTAAAAAAAATCACAAGACGATGGGGATACAATTCAACCGTTTAACATGTACTTTACTACTGTGCAACAAGCCTACTGAAATGCTCTTTAGTTGAATGACAAGAATCTCTCAAATTAATAATAAATCTGGGAAGTTGAACAATAGCTATTGTTTTTCTCTGTAGTCTCCTGGCTAATTGTACCATCGCCATACGCTAAATAAATAAATAATTTTGTATCCCAGATCACTTTAAAAGATTTTGCTGTTCTTCTAATAAAAACTATTCTATCATTTAGGTATAACTAAATTCATTAAATATGCCACTCATCAGGGACAATGTCCCATTATTTATTAAAATGCATGATTAATGGATCAGGGAAAATTCTCAGTCTTGTTAATTAGCACATTCACAAATGTTACTTAAGAATACACTTAAACAAAAAGAAATTAATGGTACTTAAATGTTTTTCTTGAACATCTAATAGCTATAGTTAATGGCAAATCACTTCTGTATCATTACAAAAACTACATGCATGTGTCCATGAAATCATCAAGAATAAATCTGTTAGATGCAGATTTTATATAATATTAACACTGTCAAAAGTTCTGGACAGAAAGCTCATTTTAATAACCAGCAGAAAAGGTTTGATGCAGTCAATCCAAATGAAATACATCTCTGCATTGGCCATCTATCTTTATTCACTCTACTTTCCAAGAAAAAAACACAACAATCTAAGTTTCTTTATATTTAGATTCTAAGTTATCTAAGTACCTTTCTGATTTTCTTTCTCTGCCAGTTCTGCAGCTACAAGCTATGCCCCCTCTTATCTGATCATTCCCTAAGGAGCATCTTCCCCTTCTGTCTCCAAGGTTATTTCCACATACCATTACACCCTTCTTACTCATCTTTCTGTTCCATATACAGCATTTTATTTTTCTGGCAACAGAAAGGCAAATTCAATCATGTGGTAAATCAGGTTGTATCACTTTGGATCCTGGACTAGATTACTTCAATGACTTGTTTTGCCAAAACTAGGCCTCATGTTAAATTTCCACCCTGTTTCCAAAATGACAATTAACAGATCTCTGAATAAGAAAAAAAAAGTTTATCTTGAAATTGATTTCCCTTCTGTTTCATTCTATACAGAAGGACACTACCAGGTGTGTGAATCATGAAATTGAAGTGCTTTGAGAGAGATTCTCTATTCAGATCAATAAGCAGCAATGGCTAAGATATACAGTTAAGCTTGTTTACTCTTCTGAAGGGGCAACAGATCTTGGCACAGGTTCACTTTTCTCCAAAGGAAAAAGAAATTAGACTTTCTAAAGACTTGTCTATTCATCCTTTCAATAAAGCTAATGCTTGCATTATGTTTTAGAGAACAAATACACTTTACGTACTTTAAATTCCTAAAATAGTTCTTTAAGGTAGCCCATTATTATTCTTATTGTGTTTGTGATTGTGATGGGAGCTTCTTTAAAGCTTTCTAATAAAATTGCGAGGTGATATTTGAAACAAAACCAAGAGACTGGGATTGAAAAAAAAAGGATGTTTTTTTTTTAAACTCTGTGCACAATGCTAACACTTGCAGTAGCAAAACTTCTACATGTCACAGTTCAATTGCTAGCCTTCTATTTTGCTGTTACTGCAAATGTTGTAAAGTGGGGACTGTGGTTATTAGAAGGGATTCATATTATGAAGATTTGGAATTTTTTTGTTGCTCTTGTTTTTAATGCAGGATATTTATTTCAAGGGATCCTCCAGGGCAGAAGGGTTGAAAAAGGCTGGATGAGAATGAATATTAGCCCTGGTAAATAAATAGACATCTTTCTTCATTATTTAGGTAGACATTTATTCAAAAATGTTTTACATGTTTCCCCTATTAGTATCTAGGCCTAGATATTAATATAAAAGAGAAAGGTTTCTCATATCCATGTCCAACTTTAGTGGGTGATGCTCATCTCAGATTCTTAGCCGAGAGCATCACGTTGTCTGAAGACAAATTGGTGATCATGTGGCCAGCATACACCAAGGCTCATGGAAAGCTGTTACTTACCCACTGAAGTGGTACCTATTTATCTACTAGCATTTGCATGCTTTCAAACTGCTAGGTGGGCTGGAGTTGGGGCAAGCAATGGGATCTCACCCCATCGCACGGCAGCTGTCAGTTCCAGCTGATCAGCTCATTGCCTTTAACTGTTGAGCCATTGCACCCCTAGATATTAATATACAGAACAGTTATTCCATTCTCATGAAACAATGTATTTCAAAATGTAACCTATAATTTATATATAACTTCTTGAATTCCTCATACAAGACTGACTACATATTTCCATCATATCCATACCAAAATGTTAGATGCTCCTTTTACATATTTTTATTACTGTTATCCATGTACTCTATGCCATACGATAAATAAAATAAATGTTTGCATATAGTCTGCTGAATGTTGGGAAATACAGAAAATCATTCAGATGAAAACTGTTACCTATAATATCAATAGAACTACCTGCCTCTTGTGTTATAGTTACAATTTGCTTTACACAGATGTAAATCCTTCTAAAACTGGAGGAATTTGTTTATATACTAAGAACCTATTTTTAGTTTCACATTTTAAGAGAATGGAAAACATGAAACGTCTTAAAGAAATTCAGTAAAAAGAAATACAGAAGTACCAAGCTATATTTAAACAGCAAAAGACATAGTATTCATGGATTTTACATTCTAGTGTCTTCTAATTTCTCATACATTAGCTTTTTCAATAAAAGTTTAATAATGCAGGGATTACCATTCTAAAACATGTCAGTAATGACACTGACATTAATAAAGACATCAGTTTAAATACTCTTTCTTTCTTGAAATAGTCTGTATCTTCAGGGGAAAAATATCCTTACCGCATGCCTTTCTCAAGAGAGCCATAAATATAGTATAATTTACAACATAATCATATCCACTTCTCCAAGAATCTAAGTTGACCAAACACAACCCAGCCAGAGAAAGAAACACATCATTAGTTTAAATGCACAAACAGCAATTAGAAACTACTGAAAAAATACCAGGCACTGAATCTGAAGTTTGACTTGTTAGGTACTGTCAAATGTTCTGAACTTTTGGATAGACACATGTTATTCCCAAGGTTATTTAGGGCAAAAATCAGGAGATCGATCAATGGCAGGATGGTAAATTTGGCAGGATAGTGATATGCTGCATGAACAGCTTTTGGAATGCTAAATTACCATCAAATTTGAACCAAGTTAGTTTTGCATTTAGTAAAATACTACATTTAGCTTCAGTTCTACTAATAAGGATATTATTTTTAACAAATATCTGAACTTTGGCAACTATTTTAAAAATCCCAATGCTTCAGAAACTTAATATTTAGTATTTCTGTGTTTTGAACATAAAAACTGAATAATATGTAAATTCATCAAAGGATATGCATTTAGCTTGCAGTTAAGCATTTCTTAGTAAATATGGTCAGTCTGTAAATAAAATCATTTTCGGTTCAGATTTCAGATGTAGACATTGCACTCTGAATAAACGGGGCAGAACTGGAGAACACGGGTGGTTCCCATAAACAGGTATCGTCCTTCTGTTGGTGTTCTTAGACCAACTGGAATTTTTTATTACATAGGAACACTTAAATTTTTGCCTGGCCACACTTGTAATACAAGATACATTTAGAACTGTAGTGTCCCTATCAGCTTACATGGATATGCATTCATTATCCAGAATGAGAATTATTTGTGAATTCAAGCCTACTGCCTGGTTTCTTCCTTTTTAGAATGGCATTTTTCATTCTAAATTTCATTCCCTGAAATTTTTGTTTGGTTCATACTACATTCTAAAATTACTCCTTGCAGGATAGTTTTACTCCCCAAAGGCCCATTTCACCATACAGCAATTTGTCCCCTCTAGTAAACTTCCCATGAGGAAAAAGTAGCCCAGGTATTGCTAAGCAACATAGGATTCTGGCCAATTAAAGGCTCATTTTTTCAGAGGATGCAGTACTTCAAACATATTTTCCTTTTAAACACAGCAGATCATTGCCACTTCTTAAGTTGTAGTTATCAAGAACTAGTTCACATATAGAAACCTTTGAGATGAAAATAACTTTTAAAAATGGCTAATTGGAAGATAAGATTTCCTTCAATGCCTGAAGGAAATAAAGATCAGAGATTTTTTTTTAAAAATCAAACAGAAATATAGGTGACACTTTAAAATCTAACAAATGTATTACAGCCCTAGTTTCCAGTGAGTGGAGTCCAGTTCATGAGGTACATGAATAAACAGCCTTAGGCATTCTTATCTCATTCTAAGCTGAATAGAGATGCCAAAAAGCAGCTTTGTATAAGGATCATTTACTTCCTTAGAGAATTATTCATGAAGAATAATATCTGGCAATGAAGCGAGAAGCGGAAAGCAATATTTAAAAACTAAATAGTTTGGTGAAAGCAGTGAATAGTTTATTCACATCCAATGTAATAAATCTCCATATACTCATAAATACAATGCTACTAGTTATTTATTAATCAACACTTAGAGACTAAGCAAAAGGCTCAAAGGCAGCATCATGGTCAAATAGATAAGAGAACTACCGGTGTATTATTTTGCACTTAGACAATATCTTTTTTTCAGGCTCTAATATTTTTCATTTGCTTAGACTATTAATACTTAAAGAAGAATCTCTCAAACCCAGTCTTGTTCAGTTCCAGTAAAAAAAAAAAGAAGTTATAGTCTTATACCACTGTCCTATTTCATAGCTTTAAGTGAAATGCTTGGTGAAAAACTACCTTTCACCTTTTTCTGACAACCTTCAGCAATAATCCCCAAGAGGGCACTTTTCATAACAATGATATTTGCAGTTTAGGGCAAGAGAAATTAAACATCACCCAGTGCTGAAACTTTACAGCTTTCATCAGAATCCTAGCAGTTGCCTTACCAAGGCAAATCTAAGTTGGTTAGCCCCCAATCTGTGTCATTTCCATCACTCAAAGCAGGGACAAATGCACACACAAAACTGATGTTCAGTATGGCACAGCATAAATATAGGGAAATGATATCACATCCTGCCATGATCCGGAATGCCAATAGTAGGCTAAATATATCGGAGTCAACATTCTCATTCAAGCACAGAGCCATGCACTGAGGGAGAGAGGACTAATATACCCCCCTCGCCTCCCCCCCCCAAACCCAAACTAAGGATTTAGCTGACAGTGCAAAGGAATCGGCAGAAAGGAGGGGGGGGAAGCAGTCGGAAAATAAGCCCTTTCCTACATAAGCGAGTTACCTACCACGCCCGCCCACCCACTTACTCCCGGCAGCTCTATATCTGAAAGCCATTCACTTCCAATAGGAAACGGGGAATTCTATTTGGTACTTAAAAAGCCACAGCTAGCGTATTGTATTATATCTGCGCACGCACAGAAAGCACAAATGACAGCTGGAAACACCGGAGGAAAAAAGGAAGAAAAAAAAAGAGGATATACATATAATTTAACTAAAAGCACAACCTTGAGCAGTGCACGGTTGCTTGCGCAGCCAATCCCTGTTTTTTTTGTTGTTGTTTTTTTTTGCATGCCACAAAGGGAGGAAAACCCACAAAAAATTCTGTACACTCACATTGTTTAAATAGTTCCAGACACAAAGCCATGAGAGACACAAAGAGGATGGGGGGACTAGAAAGAGAAAAAGGGGGTAAAGAGAGAGAGAGAGAGAAACGAAAGAGACCGGCCTTCTTTTCGCCTTGGGAGGAAAAAAGAGAGGAATGGCGCTACTACGGTAGAAGGGCAAAGCCGGATTCCACTCTGCTCATTGAGAAAACAACAAGCGGGTCCCGGTCGAGGAAGGAAGAATGGGGCGGAGGACGGGCGGGAGGCAGAGCCGGGCCTGCCCCCGTGGCGCTTCAGACCGTGGCGAGGGCAAGGAGCGGGCAGCTACGGCTGCCGAGAACGACGATCTGACCGGGGCTGAAAAAAAGATACAAAGTAAGAGAGAAAAAAAAAAAAAATGCCGCGATACACAACAGGCTTCGGCAGCGTATATACACTCACCCTCCTCCCTCACTCACTCAGCCAGCCCATCCGCTGCCCGTTATGTACTTTCAATGGGAGGAGCATCGGGGTTGTTAAAGCCCAGGGTTGGCCACGCCCACCTCCCCGGGCCGCGCCCGGCGACAGCGGGAGAAAGGGGAGCGAGCGGGGCGCTGGCCGTGGAAACGTCGTGCCGAAAACGGAGCGGGGTGGAGGAGCCGGGAAGGAGGAGGCCGGGCGACAACGGCAGCCCTCGACGGCTGCCAATGGAAGCGAGGGGGCGGGCGCTCTGCAGCACCGAGCTTCGTCGGTCGTTGCAAAGGAAGGGAGAAAAAGGCCGGCAGGCTGGCTGGCTGGCCGAGCTACTGCACCAGCTGCGAGCCTCCTCCGACTTTCGCGTGCGCTGCCCAACCGGTTCCAGCTAGTATTCCGCACATGCTCACAAAGCCCGTTTCCCCCTCGTCTGCCTCTGCCTGCTCGCCTCAAAAAAAATAAAAAAAAAATAAAAGCCGAGGGAGGCAGCGTAAAGGTCAGCCAAGTCTGCCGTGACAAAAAGGCGAAGGCTTCAAGGCCGCAGCTGCACCGCGGGAGGGCTCGCGCCGACCTCCGCGCTCCTCAAAAGTTTCGCTTTTTGTTTTTTTCCCCTTGTCTCTGCCCCGCGCCCCCATCCCTCCCCTCCCCCGGCGCGAAGCGGGGAGAAGAGCTCCACCCGCAGACAGATGGATAACAGGTGTGGTCGCCCCCGCGGAAGGGGGCGCTCGCTCTGGGCAAGGGCGGT